GGCCACGTAGGCTGCTCACGTTGGGTACGTTTTGGTTAACTCCATAGGTTGAACCGGACGGGGTGGTCCCGGATCCAGTACCAGAGATACGACCTCCGATGCGCTCGCGCTCCAAGTTCGTCCCGCCCAGGAAGGAGGCAACAGTATTGGACCTGCCAATGACGGGACGCGGTCCGGCATCGACCTGTTGGTTCTGCGACTGCACAGACAGGGGAGCCCGAGAAACTGCGCTGCGGATAGGCATACGCACGGGCGGTGCCTCGGTCTCAACCTCTTGCTCCTCGTAAACGTTGCGGCTGTTGGTACGGGACAAGCGATCAGTAAAGCTTTGTGCGGTGCTTGGCCTGCTTCTACCGTCACCGCTGGAAGCAGTTGGTCGCCGTTGGAGGCCAGCACCATAGCCGCTCATACCGTTGGAGGAGGAGATAGCACCACCGGCCCAGCTTTGGCGCACCCTTCGCAACTCATCGGCACATCTTTCGTGATATTCGAGCTCGGCGTCAAGGAATTGGGTCAAATCGCGAACGCTATCGACCTCGCTGTCGCGGATATCCTGCATTCTGCGGCTGACATCTTCAGAGGCTTCTTCGTACTTGGCCTTAGCCCCCCGAAGCTCTTCCTCGATACGGAAGTCATCACGACGTGCTTTTTGGATCTTGGTCGCCGTTGCATCGTAGGCCAGACGCCGGCTCTCGAGCTTCTTACGAGCAGCCTAGATTATCTGTTAGCTGTAAGCCAAACTTGACAATGAGCCGTGTGTGCTAACCTGGTACTCCTTCATCATAGCTAGAGACCTCTCGAGAGACTCAAGCCACGTAGTTGTCGCCTCACTGACAAAGGTCTCCTGGATTTGCCCAATCCTCTCATTGGCACGGCCCATCGAGATAAGGCAGCTTCCGAATTCGGAGTCGGGCGCAAAGTCTTCGCCATGTCCGATCATGGTCTTTCCGAGATAATTGGTGGGAATGGACTTGTCCTTGTCTTCGTACGAGTCGCAGCGACGGCCAAGCCACTTGACATAGAGGTTCATAGACTTTTGCAGTCGGTCCATGCCTAGCAGTAAAAGTGTGTCAGATTGTGCCCACGGTCAAAGTATTGGGGTAGAAAGCAAGGGCATACCTTCAAAGCGAAGTGCCATCTCCATCTCCAGCTGCTTGAAGTCCTCAGACATAGTCGTCTTTTGCTCGGCACCCATCTTTTCGCCGGCCCATTGAAAGGCGCGGTCGAACTTTTTGGTGATATTCATGTTGTTTGTGTTGTTGACAAATGCAAGTGAAGCGTTGGGTTAAGTCAATGGACTATCGATTCCTGACAAGAAGGTCGTGGAGTTCGTCGGCTTCTGTGAGATTGCAGTTATGCACGTTCTGTTAGTGCCAGGGACAGTCTGGCAGTAAGAACAGAAAATGGCGGCCGTAGCTCGTAACGAATGACAGCTCCCAAAGAGTGAAGGTCGAGAGATGGATAATTGAGAACAAACGAGCAAAGCAGACGAGATCGGGAGGGGAGGTTAATGATGCGGACGAAGGTGCCAGATATGTATGCAGCAGCCGGTTTGATGGCGAGTGTGAAGAGGAAGGTGGTCTAGTGCCGTGTGTGGGAATCTTATGTGGCAAGAATGTGGATGTTGTCTCAAAGGTAAGGTAGTGTGCTCGTCGAATGGACGTTGATGGATCCGCAGTCGCAAACGTGGTTTTAGACTCGTCTGGGAGGAGTTGCCCCGTTCGTACCTAAGCCCCGTCGTATCACGAACAGAAACAAGGGGAAAGGTTGAAAATAGATGGTAGGATGGAGAGAAAGCATGGATGTCGAGGCACGCCAGTGTCCAATCGAGCAGGAAACCTTGACGGCTCAATGCGTCCTTGCAGCGCGCTAAGGCAGGAGGCGAAACACAGGCAGGCCCATCAGATGGTGTAAAAAGGTCCGGACTCTGGCTGGGTCTACTTTGGTATAAGCGTATCCGGACTTCTTTCCACACCACCTGCTCGTCCATGGCTTCTGCGGGGGAGGCCCAGATTCAATCCAGGCAGTGCAGATGCTCAACAGGGGCATCCTAGGAGCTTGGAACGCGGGGGAAGTGACTTCTTCCCAAGGAACGTCAACTGAACACGAACGAAAGTGGAAGGTAACCGGGCGTCTAGTCTAGATGGAGCTTCCCAACAAGTCAACTCGAGAGTGATTCCCTGCTCGTCTCAAAATTCGTACATCATACCTCTAGAGAGCTATAGTACTTACCAACCCCGAACCACAGAAAGACCAGAGGCATCCTTAGGGCCGGGCTGTCTGAAGACCTGGATATCATATCTGGCTTGGGCATCTTCCAGGCCATTGTTTTCCAAATGCTGTTCGACGACAACACGGAAGCCTCTCACGCGGAAATTCCCCATTTCTAAGACCTGGAAATCATTTTCTCCACAACTGCCTAACATACCAATCAGATCATCGCAATCACACCTGAAATCCCGAGACGGGAATACCAAGCTTCCGGACCTCTGGACCTCTGGAATCTGACCTGGAACAGAGCATTTCCAAGTGGTCTGTACTCGGTGATCGAAATCCATTTCCGAACCAGCATTTCCAGGTCGCCTTTCCAAGCCATCGGACACGCCCTCAAGCCCGAGCTGGCTTGTCAAGTGTCAAACTGTCACAAAGCTGCAAAGTGACGTTTACAGCGATGTGAAGTTCGTCAGCTTTAGAGGATGCTTCGTTGTAAAATTGACGCACGTCCAACGAGACGGGAAGGAGGCTAGTTCTAGCTACTTTGCGTTCCCAAATCACGAAAGGTTGGGGCGATAATAATTCGTCAATCTCTTTTCGTATCCAGTGTATGACTACTAGAATATGCAAAAAAAACTCGATCTCCCCGCCTTGTCTTGTTGTTCGGATGGGATTATATCCTCTCGAGCTGAGTCTACTCCTTGAACTCGTTAGCCAAGCTCACACGAAGCTTAGGTAATGTATGTCAAACAGGTCCAATCTTCATCCGAACAGTCGAACATTATCACGAACGCTTTGGCTCTGAGCAAGCAATGTTGTCAACCGCCAGCTCATCCGCCACAGTGGCAACCAACCCGATTCCGATCCAGCAAGTGCGTCGACTGCACATATGTACAGGGCATGCATGCAGGCAGTCGGATAACACTATGCCAACAACGAAACCCTTTCCTTTTACCAGAGAACTGAACCAGATAGCAAAGGACCAACATCATCACGGTGTTCTAGCCGCCGTGACTGCAAGCCACCCACCACACCACACTGGCCTGAGAAAATGGTATAGCCTGAATGTAGCGAATTCCGTTGAGGCGATCATTGGGGATTACAGGCCAATAAGTTTGATCTACGAAAGAAGTCGACATAAAAATTCCGCAATCGCCGTCGCCGAGACACGCCAGAAGCATCTGGACTTGATACCTGAAGCCACTGGTTGCAAGGATCAACCTCCCATTTACACAATTCTCTCTTTTTGCGCCGGCGGCGATGTACACCTCTGCCGGCATTAAACTTGTTAGCTTGGTACCGCCACCCTACAGTATTCAGGGTTTTAGATGTGGTCAAAACTAACCATTTTTCGTACGAGAATTAGAGTTCTTGCCACTTGCTCATCATCGCGATAACAAGTTTAATGCCGGCAGAGGTGTATGTTAATGTTGTGGAACACGACCGAGAAGCCAGATCCGCCTCCATACAAGAGTTGTACACATCGGAGACCACCCGTCATTGAACCGTTGTTGAAAAGACTGACGATAACTTAACCGCTGCAGACCAAATCGCCAAAACCGGATGTAGGCAGGCTGGGCGGCAGTTTTTAACCTTTCCAGCAGAAGAGAAAAGCCGGCGACGAATAAACCCCTGTAGGTTAGAGTTTAGTTGGTGGAGACCTCTCTTTTGAGGTTGTTTCAGCCCTAAGATCGGGGTCGCCAATCGCGGTCGCTCAGGGGTTAAAGCTCGCTCTCAAGAGGGGCCGCGGCGCATGGTTGATGGGCGAGTGATCGATGACCATGATCCATTTATCGACCGACGACCACAAATTGCCAGTGGCAGATGGAAGAAGGTAAAGATAGTACTGCAGTCCAGACATTTGGCTGGACATTTCCAACCGTCATCTTGCTTCCACCACAGCATGTGCGCGTCTCAAGATGACCATTTGTCAACTGCTAAATCCTCGACGGGATCAAGGTAAATCTTAATGCTGATATCTTATTGATCCCAAGCGAGATTCACCAGTCGCTCGTCAGAACCTCTCGCCTTCCTCTTCGACAGCGTATCAGTTCAATGGCAACCCCTTCGTCACACCGGCAACTTTCAACCTCTCTCCTGTATATCTTTCAAGCACAGCCCATAACACCGGGTCCCTCTCGTTTCAGACATCAGGGGGGACTTTCTGCACACCACCAGGCCTTGCAACTGAAGCTTTCCCTCAAGGTTCGTTGTCCTTCCAATCTTCCATTGCATGAGCATTGCGGAGCCGCGCGTCCGTTCCACTGGGATACTATTCTGGACCCCGGACCCAGTATCTGGAAACAGTACACTACGCACGAGGCGAACCGTGTCCTCCGTATCGACAAGCTAAGCTTACTCACGGACCTCGTTTCAACACCTCGAAATGTTTATATTCGTTAGACCATTGCAAATTACAGATTCCGTCATTGCCGTTCATCCTTTCTTTTTCCACCGTTCGTACACTAGTCTACGTCGCCTTGCAGACTTGAACCATCTGTCAAGCTAGAGGTTTTCCGAGCCAACCGGACCGACAGGGCCAACGAATGAGACTTACACCGGCTTTACACCGCTCTTGCCATGACTCGGATCCCAACAGCGTCTTACACGGTCCATATCTTAGGATTTTGGATGCTCCCGTATGCAATCAATTCTTTGCTGTATACATCGCATAAAGAACTTTTCTGGAAAACACGACTTCGCTCAGTGAGACAAGATGCAACGCTCAGTGACCGCACAAAGTTTGGACTGTGGCGGATGTTGCATTGCGGGGCACATCAGAATCGTTGAAGCAACGTAATGTTCCTTAAAGTATGTGTGGTGCCTGTAACCTTTCTGTCTTTTCTCATTCGAAGTGAACAAGGTCTAAACCCATATCCCTCATACCTTGTACGCCGTATTAAGCAGTAACGAAGGAAAAAAGATAGAAAAAGAAAGGAGTAACGAGGTATATGTCGTCATAAGTGGTTGATGGTGATGTTCTTCCCTCTGTTCCTCAATTCTCCCTAATTCCCCAATTCCAACCTATTACACTTGAGAACCAATCCGCGCGACACATATCATTATGTCGTGCCGTCCATTTTCGCGTCTTCACTGCGCCCTGTTATTTAAACAGTTCCGCTGATACTCAGTTCCCTGATCTCCTGCAACACTTGCTCGACCCTGGTATCTAGCTGACCCTGGGCGTACTGCTCCCGCGTGTCTGGATCGAGGTATTGCTGTACTTGAGCCATGCGACTGTAGGCTTCGGCGCAGAATCGGAGCTGAATCTTGACGAGAGCCTCGAACGATGGGTCGAGGTAAGGGACGCGGAGGTCGATAAGCTGCGGTAGCTCGGTGCACAACTGCTCGTTGAGCTGCTCGTAGGCTGCTTTGGCCATCTCCATTTCCTTCTCGGCGCGTGGGAGCTTCGTCACATCCTTGTCGGGCTTCTCGACCAGTTTCTTGACTTTGGCGCGGAGGGCGTCGTAGTCGAGGAGTTTGTGGCCGCGCTTCTTGATGCCTATTTTTTTGAGTTTATGGCGGTCAGTTTATATACGGACAGCAGGGGCGTTGTCGAGAAAGAAAAGGGAAGGAGTATGTTTCGGGAGCGGAAGAGCAATCGATTGATTGCTAGGGAGATGAAGAGGTGGAGACGGCCGAGACCTACATTCGTTAACGTCGGGGAAATAAGCACAGAATCTGGTAATGGGATCTAGGACTGTTGTCCTATATGGTCCGTCCAAGGCCTTGATCGTTTCGGCGTCCAAGTCTTCCACTGCTTGCTTGTAACTCCGGCTGACTCCATCTTTAGCACCAGCTTCACCGTAGAAAGCGTCAATAGTTTCGGCGATGCGCATCTGTGAGGCCGTCATTGCTGTCCCGGGACATTGACGTTAGCTTACAAGACTCGTTTGCCAAAGCGACGGGTGGGTGTCTGTCATACCTCGTAGTGAATCAAGATAACCCTTGGCCTCTTTTTGTAGTCGTAGGGATGCCGCCTCCATAGTCTTGAATCGTCTGGATGTCAAAGACGCTTAGCCCAAGTCCCTCTCTTTCCCATGTTGTATCTAAACCGAAAACAATCATACCTCTCCTCAACCTCATAGTCGCGATCGTTGGTCTTCTCGACATGACCCGTCTTCATCATCACCTGGGTCGTTGCCCGGTTGACATTCTTCTTGAAGCCTGTAAGACACAAACGGAAGAGGCGGAACCCGTTAGCTTTGTCGCATTAGGGGATATAGGCTATGGCGGGATTTGTGCGTACCGGCCCACGACATGATGGCTGAGTTATTCTCGTCGCTTGGTGTCTGACGTCGGTGACTCGTGTATGTATATGCGGGGGATCGACTGATTAATAGTTCCGTTCAATCGCCATAAATATTCGGAAGGTGATCGCCTGGTTGATGATTCGTCGCAAATTAATTCGTCGCTCGATAGGATAGGATTAGGATATTATTAAGTCAGTTCGTATGTTGGCCGGATAAGTGGCTCGGAGAATAAGTCGATGTCGGTGTTGTTGACGTTTAGAGCAGATTGGCGATGTTTGGCAAGCTTGGAGAGCAGTTGTTGCGGGATCCTTGCCAGTTGCGATGCCCGGACATAGACGAACGAAAGGGGTGACGACGTGGGATGTGGCTGTGCTTACCGCTGCCTGCCAGGAAGACACAATCTTGGAATGTGATTGGGCACAATCTTGGACGACGTCAGCGGGGTCAACCTGCCAAGCCACAAATGCCTTGGCTACATAATCCCACCGGGCCGCGAGCAGACCGTGACAGGTGCAAAAACGAAGTTCGACGGCTTCCATTTTCCCAGAATGATCTCCATCGATCGGATCTGTCTCCATGCCCGTCTCGGAGGCCTGGGCCATTAGTGTAGACATCGGATCGTCAACTCATGTCAGGTTTCTCACAGCAGCTGGTCGAGACACATTGCTGCTGCTAAGAAAGGACAGTGCTGAAGCTGTGATACCGGACATTGCGGCAGGTCATCTTTGCCGTTGACTCATCCCGGCGTAGGTTCTGTGTAGGTATGTAAAGCTTCGCATGAAAGAGAGTAAAAGGGCGTACGTCCCGGGTTCAGCTTCTGTCTCTCATTCATTTTCCTTCCTTTGAGCTTGGCTTGCAATTATCAATCTTCCCCATACACTTGGCCAGAACCAAAACCTGTTTCTGAACAGCCAACTGGCATCACCAATTGATACAAAACAAATCAGTTACCAAGCACGGCACTAAGACGGTGAAATGGCCCAGAAGAAAACCATCCGACAGCAACCCTCAGACACAGCCTCAAAAGAAGTAACCTCCAACCCCGAAATTTACGCTGAGAACATGGCATCTCTCAGACGTTTTCTCGTCGTCAGTCTCGGCAACCCGGGAGAGTATCGCGATACTTTTCACTCAGCCGGCCATCTGGTGCTCGAATCCTTTCAGAAAAAGCTTCCTGAAGACCTCGGACAGCCGTCTTTCACCTCGGAACGCTATGGAAAGAAAGCCGTCCGTGCTTCCGCCGGATCAAAGTACACTCTTTTACAAAGCCCTACGCTCATGAACATCACCGGGCCGTGGCTCGCTCGGGCGTACAAGGATTACCTGGTCGACCATGGCCTAAGCCCCGAAGAAGTTGGACTCGTGCTGGTCCACGATGACTTGGAGGAAGAGTTGGGTGTCGTCAAGGTCCGACAGTGGAAGGCTAGCCATAGAGGCCACAACGGCATCAAGAGCGTGCTGGCCAGTTTGCCGCCGATACCCGATGCTAAGTGGGCGCGCGTATCAATAGGCATTGGTCGGCCGGATGATAGGGACAGGACCACTGTGTCCGACTTTGTCCTCAGCAAGATCCCAAGGCACGCCAAGGGGATATTGCAAGATAAGGGGGGAAGCGGGCTGTGGGAGGCACTCGGCAAGTTAGAGATAAAATGGAACAAATGAGGTTGTGGACAGTGGAGAGCGAGTACGACAGAGCTGGGCCGGTGTTGCGCCAGTGAGCTAAGATAAACTATGATACCCCATTTTCAACCATTATCTTTTCCACTGATATATAAATGCTGACTTCCGTCCGATGACAAGCATCTGCCGCGTAATGCACACCGTGAACAATTTGCCTAATGAGACGACATATCCCATCTGTCTCACCAGATGTACTAACATCCACACTCTCTAGTAACAAAGAAAAAACATGCGAACCTTCTTCAACTCAAAGCCAGTCAAGCCCAATGCTTTTGTTCCCGATACCGACAGTATCTTCACCACCATTTAACCTCACCTCAAGCACCCTACTCGTCCTTCCCGTAAATGGCCCCCGGCAAGAAAAGCGGCACCTCCATCGGCAACTCCTCATGCGGCCTAAACGAATCAATGTTTTCCGATATATGTCCCCCATCCCCCTTCTTCACCGGCCGTCTCGTAAAGAAAATCAGCATATCCCTCGTCGCCTCCTTCGTCTCATCAACCGGCAACACGGGACTCAACGAGTGTTTATTCTCCGTATCCACCAACAAGAGCGTATCCAAAAAGTGTCTATGCTGCACTCTACTCCTCAAGTTCTGCGGTTTGATCTCCGTATACTTGGCCCCCGTCTCCTCGTTCATATCATGCATGAACGTCACCGCGCTGTTAGCCGCCAGATCCATGTTTTTCGATCCAAGGTACGTAGTCATGGTGTGATCCACCCCATCGGTATGCACGCCCTCCAGCGCCGGCTCGCCCAGGATGGAGGGGGTGGTGACGGTGCGCAAGTTAAAGAGCGTGCACACCCACTTATCGGACGAGTAATCCAGTCTCGGCCGATGGGTGGTCTGTACTCCATGGCAGATCATCCCCTTGAAGACTAACAAGGCCTGGAAAGCAGTGTTGAGCTGCAGTTCGTCTTGGACTTCATCAAAAACGCGGATCTGCCCCGAATCATGCCGCTTGAAGTCCTCTTCAACCGACAACGCAAAGGGTTGGAACTCGAGCCGTCGCACGGAACGAGTGGAGAAGTCGAAGCAGAAACGGCCGTTGCGCGAGCGCCGGAAGGGTAAGGTCGGGTCAGAGTAGAGGTTGTTAGAGACGCGCTGGAGGGCGTCCAAGTCGGCGCGGGTGGCGCCGAGGCCAAGGAGGAGGGGGACCATGTCGGAACCTTCGACAAAGATGGAGCGGTTGGTGATGTACTTGGAGCGGAGCTTCATGATTTCGGCAACCGCGGTGTAGTAGGAGGGATTGAAGACACGTTTGGTCACGTCCAGCCGGGGACGGATGCCCTTCAAATTGGTGGTGGGTGGCCCCGACCAGGCTGGAGGAAGGCTGGCGAAGGGGTCGGTTGGGTTGAGGGATCGAGCGGTTTCGACAGAGGCTCGAGAGTGGGGAGTTTCATGGTAGAGTCTATGGGGTTGGAGGCGGGTGATGGCGGCTGGGATGGGGCGGAGAGATCTGGTGCTGGCTCGTGGGAGCTGTTTCACGACTATCGAGGTCAACATCGTGAGTAACTGAAATGTTCCGACGCTGGCTGGAAAAGATGGAGAAGACTGCCGGCTTGATTTGGAAAACTCGAGGTAGCGTGATGGGTAGATATGTACAAAGCTCATTCCTCGATGACTTGACGACGTTGGCGACAAAACTCTTCACCTCAGCGATAGCCGGAGACCGGAATACCTCTATCTTTCTATGGATGACTGTGACGGATCTCATAATGCGTCAACTACTCAAATGCCATTACACGACTACAAGCCGAAGTCTTGCTCAGGCTTCAAGTCTTACTGTGCAGGTCATCCTTGACGATGGCGCCATATGTATTTTCTTAGTGTCTGAGCACGTTGTTGAGGCGTGAGAAAAGATTTTCAGAGCGGGCGGTACTCAAAGTAGACAGGAAAGCGAAGCTATCCTCGGGTCTACTCAGAGTATCTCACAATAGCCTCATCTTAGGACCCGGTGTTAGTTGGGCCTCACCACGTGCCGGATCGGAGTGCTCAGACTTGTACTCTCATGCAGCCATGCCCCTGACCTATTTCCTTCTTTGAACTTTCATGTGGTATACACGGTAAATGCAACACCGCTATTCCTGAAAAATGATTCTTTTGTACTACTCCTCTCCACGAGTAGTAAGACAACCAGGGGTTCAAGTCAGACGGCTAGTATGTCGGGGCGGTATGCGAAGGACGGAACTTGTGCTGCATATAGTGGCAACGACTCGACTCCTGAGTTCGAGCAGTCACGACGGGAATGCTACGACTGAAGGATTTCTACCGGTAGTTGGTAAGTTGGACGCCAGTATGCCTCATTTATGAATTTAGGCCCTGCTGGACATCACGTTTCGAGGATCATTCAATGGTGATTTGAGAATTATGGGGGTCAAAGAAGTGATTGAACGATTTGAGGTTTCCCAAACAAGAGGAGGTGCTTATCACATTTAAACGGTCATTCAACACCTCGAAGATAACCGAGTAGCTTACGGACATACCGTGTAAGTGTCCAGGGGCTAGCAGCCTCAGCCCGATGGCTTACTGTCGAGTATCGTCAGATTCTATGGGCCGAGCGCCGATGACGGATCACCACGCAAGGTTTGAAGTCAAATCACTCTCAAGGCAAATGATTCACGGCAAAATTACTGTTGCTATTCCATTCCCATTGAAGAAAAACTACGCTCATGTCAATCAGTTCGCCGTTGCTCGGATAAGTGGTCGTCCCTGCTTCTTCTCTGTCTGCTTAGAGGAAACGTGAAAGAGAAATTGGTCCAAAAAGGTGATGGGGTGGACGAACTTCATTAGTAAATCATCTTGTTTGTCAGTCGACTTTCTCTTCGACAGTAAAGTAACTCCGGAGAAACAGCGACTCCCTCAAACTGATGTGGGGGGCTGTTAGTGATGGGGCGCTAACTTTAGGGTTTTCATTTTGCACGCGTAGCTGTTAGTGTGGTAATAGCACATATTCGTCGGCTCCGCACACATCCCAAACATCCAGCTTTCGAACATTCGAGGCAATGTTTATATACTTCGGAGGAACCTGCAGAGTCCATATCTATACCATCAATGTAGGGCTATAACTCACCCATAAATTGACCGAGTTCCGCACCCAGCTTGCTGCTTCACTTCTGATCAACCTTCATTTTCCCCAACCCTTGCTTGATCTTCTCGCCCGCCATCTCAATTTCATACTCGATATCCGGCTGCGCCTCCGCATAAAGCCAATTCTTCTCCCCCGCCATGCGAAAGTTGAACAAGGCCATCTCGTCCGGAACAAACTTCTTCTTTAGCTCCGGATTCCCCGCACAAGCAGCCTCCACGCGAAGCTGGATCTCACAGCTCCTATCGAGCAATCCAAACAGGAAACTAGCCTCATCGACCGTTGATCCGACGGTCAACAGCCCGTGGTTCAACAATATAGCGGCCTTGGAGTGTTTGCCCAAGACGGAGGCGATGCGCTGCCCCTCCTCGGCTGCGGTGACGATGCCGCTGTAGGAAGAGTCAACGGCGATGGAGTTGTACAGGTCACAGATATCCTGGTGCAGCATGTCAAGAGGCTTGCCAAAGGCGGACCATGCGCGGCCAGCGATGGTGTGGGCGTGACAGATGGAGTGGACGTCTGGGCGGGCTTTGTGGATTTGCGAGTGGATGTGGTAGCCGGGTGCGTTTACGGGGCGGGTCTGGCGAAGATGTTAGACAGCGATGGATAGGGCAGACTCGCAAACAGCTTGTCTCAGCGGCGTACCCGATTCCCTCCAACAATCTTCCCGGTATTAATCTCCAAGCAAACCATATCGCTGGCATTCATCAGCCCAAAATGTTTCCCGATCGGATTCATCCAGATGCAATCGGGATACTCCGGGTCACGGACGCTGATGTGACCGGAGATGCCCTCGGTGTATCCCATGCGCGCCCAATTGCGAAACACGGCGGCCATGTGCAGGAGGATGTGTTCACGGTGTTCTTGCTGGGTGGGGAAGGTCGGGATACCCGTCAACGGGTTGGGACCCATGCTGAGTTCATGGAGCTGGCACTCCAGTGCCGCTGGCTCGTCCGGCTCGGAACGGGGTGCCGTCGCCTGAGATGGATGGGGGATGAAGTTCCCGGCGGCCTTAACGGCGGCCGGCTGCGGAGGGAGAATGGGACTTTTCACCTCTTCGAGCATAGTATATGAAGACGCCATTTCGTAAGCGGATCAAGCAAGAGGCTGATTTGTGATACGCTGTATTTGCGAGAGGCAGGATTGGAATGGAAACGAAGTCCAAGGTAACGACTGGGGTCCTGGTATAAAGCAGAAACAAAACTGATGGCTTAGGTGGTCCTTACAAAGGACACTGTTATCGTCGCTTGCACACTTCCTTTGCTGCCATACATGCGTACATATGTATGTCACCTGCAGGGTTCACCAGCTTACACAGTAATCTACACGACCTACGGTACTCAGATTGGCGAACAATGTGCCTCCGTGGGGGTGACCTGTCCTTTATCCTTGATCCGGAGAGTCAGCAAACCACATTTGCAATCGGAGACAGTGCAGGACTGATACTCTGCCACACCGGATACGATATTCGTCAACCAAAAAAAAACCATCTGGTATTTGAGGTATCAGACAGCCATGAATGTGGATAAGGAGGTGAGCTCGATGTTCAGGAGGAAGCTGAGGGGGGTTGAGTGCTGAAGTTTAGGGACCTTTTGGGGCGAGAACCCTGCTGGCTGCTGAGCAGTGAGTGTTACGTAATTGAAATACACTGTCGGTTCGGGCCGCTTGGGTAGGAAGGCGCCTAGGGCTAACGAGAACTCTGCAGGCCAACGAAGCGCGTCTATCTCTTCCTCGCGATTTCAGCCTAATTCATCTTCCATCAACGAAATCCTTCTCTGTCAGGATTCTACGAATTACCACGTCCCCAGCATCTACGGCGAATAGCTGTTTTGGCTCATCGTAATCGATCGGAGTGACTATTTCGACCTTGCTTACGGTTGTCACTATGCGCCCTACATCGCCAGCTCGTTTCGCTCCCCCTTTGCGGGCTCCTACCGTCTGCCCTCGACCACTGTTCCTCCGCGCCGCAACAGCAGTGAGGACAAGTACGACAAAAGCGCAGCATGCTTCTCGATTGTTTTCCTGTCAGACCGCACGCTCGGGTCTCGTACAAAACTCGGGAGCGAAGCCAAAGATCCCCTACGCCGCCTTCAGTTTCGAGCATCTTGGAATCAGCAACAAATGGAACAAGTACATTATGGTCTTCTTCATTACCATGGGCACCATCGAGACCTATCTTTGGTACAAATACCTTCCTGCTTGGTGGGAGGCTCACAGCAACACTGCCACTGAATTCGAGAAGCAACGTGACGGTCCTCAGTCCCACACCGCCAACTGATGCAACACAACGTACCGAGGTCACCACGTTCATTTCGAGCCTCATGCAGACGCGCTACGGCGATGTTCCGCCCCATATGGGTACCACAACCTTGTATTGGTCCTTCTAAACTCGGCTTGCTGCCCCAAGAAGGCAATCAAAACGAAGCGCTAAGATCAAGCGCATCTCGAACACATTGTCATCTCAACTGCATCATCTACCGCCTCTCAAACTTCACCACTACACCGCTATCACCTTCATTTTGAAAGAAGACGGTTCAAGGGCGTGGAGAAACGTCGCAGTCATCACCATCAATATCGCCATCACAGACTTACCTGTCATTAGCGTCATTACGCATGGACTTTGTTACCTCTCGTTCGTCCTCCCCAGCTTGAAGCCCGACATCTTGCGTTTGACGAGCAACAATGAGGCAGTTATGCCATGGCTTTTGCCCACATATCCAACAGAGGTTTGTCATCTTTTACCACAAAGACTCAAGTCGGATATATACCCCACATTGTGCTGCCAATTATACCTGGTGAAGGATTTGTCTGCTGACGCCTCAACAGGGCATGCAGCCCAGCAAACCAAGTAACTGGCCAAAATAGCAAAAAGATAAATCCAACTTGAATGAGACTTGGCAGAACTCTACCGATCTTACGGGGCGTCAACAAAGTCTCTGCGTCCAGATCAGCTTATACCAAGAATGGATCAGAATCTCGCACGCGGCCAAGAGTCTCTCTGGCACAAGGTTGGAAAGGGTTCTCTGTTCCATTTACACTGTTTCTTGATCGAAAAGATGCCCCGGCCCCATGACCATCTCTTACTCCCGCCGTCGCTTAAACTTCCGATTATGGACGGAGTTATTCCGGAATTCTGATGAGAATCCATACCCCAGACAAGCTTTTGAAGGCTGGCTCTCTCCTTTGCGACACCTTACATCGAGAGCAGATCACCCAGATGTGTGTGGTGGCAATGAATGGGTGAGGCTGTATGGGATGAGCAGGGACAAGGGCTGAGGCATCTTCCCATTGCATTCGTTGGGTAAAGAAACCGAAATGCAGCATCCGCAATCCCAGATCACTCCATCGAGATGGCCTCTCTCAGTTTCCCACGTAAGCACAGGGTTTACCGTTGAACACTCTATTCACGTTCCCTGTGCACTCCATGCACCTGGTAACATTTTCTAACGTTTGGTCATTTCGCAATGTCGAGGTCTTTTGCGTTGTCAGGCACATCCAATCAAGTCACTTGATGGATGAGGGGGGGTAACGCTGTGGATTTTGTAATTCGCTTTACCTTCTTTCTAAATTTCCACCTTCCTCATACCTTCTAGCCCAGTACTGGTCCTTTCCGGGCCATGGGACTCAAATCGTTCTGTGGCTGTTTCGAGACTGTATAGCTCGAAGGTTCCATCACTGTCCGTAGTCTATACTACATCACGGGACTCACCACCGGTCCTCACTCAGTGGTGAACATGGCTGCTGGAACATGAGTTTCGCGCCATAAACGTACCGCAACTGCTCAGTCATAAGGATGCTCTTTCGAGGAAGGCTACATTTCATGCGGATGTTTCTAGCCCGCTCTTAGCGACTATATGAAGCATCTTGACAACTGGATTGGCTCATAATCTTAGCATGATCCACAAAGCATCTCTGTTGTAAGTAGAAGCGGTTCTTTGTGTCGTTGCCTACGTGCTCAGGGCACTGACTTAGTGCCGCTACACAACAGCTCCCCGTACTGAGATACCACGCGGCCTTAAGGACCCCCGCCTATCTTCTACACCTTAGACTTGGATACTTCCGTTTCGAGCTACACCGCGGTTCCTGTTACCTGGACGTGAGATGTGCAGGTGCACAAACCTCACGAACTTGAAGGTACACCACAATGCCTTCCAGATTAGGTACTTAACTCCGGGGATCACAAGGTCTTTCAAGACTGCGAAAGTACGGTATTTCTGCCTGGCTTTCACCGTAGGGCTGATGACAGGCAATTATTCAAGTACTTACACGTTGGCACTTGCAAACACCCTTCAGCAGTTGCGAGACCTGTCTTGGAATAGTTGCCAACACAGTCAACAGACAGAAGCTCATATCGAATCATGTCTTCATCGAAGCCTTCCGCTCATCCTTACTCCTTGCCCGATCTCACTAAAACCAAGCTTTCCATGGAGGATGACTGGACTAAGGTGAAGGACCGGAAAGAAAAGAAGCGCATTCAGAACCGTGTTGCACAGCGGACATACCGTACGTCTTACGCCCATATTTGATCAGTAGCAGTCGCTAATCCGTGACCGAAGGTCATCGTATGAAAGCACGTCTAGGGGAATTACAGCAAAAACTCGAATATCATGAGAGAAACAAGGGAACATCGACGTATGGTGATGCTCCTGGTGTTGGCGACAGTGAGAACACAAGCAGGAGCCCGTCTGTACAGCTTTCGACTCCAACATATACCACAGACGACAGCCCATCTCCGAGGGCTAACGAACTGATGGTGTTTGATGACATTCACTTGCCCAACTATCACAGTCCGCACGTCTTTCATACCGATACCAGTCAACTATTTAACCTATCGCCCGTTACAACACCATTAACTTCACAACCACCGCGAGTGTTCACTGTAGAGCAGTCGAACATCACGGATAGTGGGTACAATTCGGCTGTCGTACATGAATATTTGCGCCTCCAAATGCAACCATTCGACACACAGCATCGTGCAGCTGATGGCCAAGCGAACAACTATGCTCTTGGTGTCTCTACACATGGCAACGATTCATTCTGTAAGTTCATTACAAAACATATGGAACGTTTTTTGTTATCGTGCAGTCCACTAATTGGAAGTTCCAGTAGTTCACGATAGCCCTGATATTGACCCGTTGCTGTTTTCTTCCGAGAGACACGGTACAATGACTGTAGGATATACAGAAGAAGGTGAAAGCAAGGTCCTGAACTGGAAAGCTCAGCCACCACCATTAGCAACGTCCAACCCAGGCCAGGCGGTAGCTCTCACCTCTTCTGTTGCCCCGGACCTGCCCGAAACGAAAGAGACGCGGACTTCCAACCGTACCGCCTGTAGTACTACACCGGCAGAAGTCAACCAAAAAGCTCCCAGACAACAACAACAACATCAACCAGCATCATTACCCACCAAACGACCTACGTTGGATGAACGCATGGAAAGCGTTATGGAACGGGTTGAAACAGAAGGCTTCGACAACTTCGACTCCCTCGCCACTCTCTACTACAAAGCCAAGTTCGGGGACTCCTCCTCACTTGCAGTCGAGCAGCGACTCAGCCGTAACCGGCGTCTGCCCAAGCTGTTTGCCGACGTTTTCTCAGCCGCTCAAGAGTGGGGTGCACGCGAACAACGACCGCTGTTCGATGAGGTCCTCAGAATGTCGGAGGGTATGCTGATAGGCGAGGCGAGGGGTGTTCACAGTACGCTTCACGCGAGCATCGGTGGGCTGGCCAGGTCGGCCAAAGACCACGAAACTGGCAAGAGTGCTGTTCCGGGTTTGAAGAGACTGATGGAGGATAATGTGAGTTCAGTCATTTATTCACTTCCTGTTTTTGCATCATCATCATCATCATCAAAACTTTACGAGTTTGAAACCATGAATCTATCTGCCAGCGCTAACAGATTTCACCCAGTTATCGAATCTCTGGGCCTTGGTGACGGCATTAGCGACAGAGAACAGAGCAGTACGGCAGCGAGATCGCTCAAATACAGTGCTGGCGACAATTCTGGTCTTGCAGTGCTCTGGCCAGCTACCCAAACAGAGTCTCATGGCTTTATTGGATGCTTGTCTTTGAGAGAGCTTCCAAATTGGGAGTCTTTCGGGCTTGATGATGGTTGGAAAGTGGAACAAGTGACTCGATTGGATGGCATCTAGAGGATTGAAAGCATAAAGGACACCGGAGGGAAGTCAAAAGACGTGTGCATCACCACGGCATTCGAAATGAAAGAAATTTCTAGCATTACAGTCTCATCATGATCAAGATCAATGGTCTTCATATCATAAATGGAAATATTCGAGCAATACATACCTACAATTACAAGGGAAGTTCATTTCAACATGTGTTCATGCTCTGTTTGGTCGAGATTGGTTCGAGGTCAGGGCAGCAAATCTAGGCACGCTATATTGGTCTGTGTAAGGCATCGTGCTAGCAGATCGCAAGCTACTGTTAGCGAGTCAGTACTTGGGCCGCCTGAAATGCATGACTCCGGGACGTAGTCTGGTAGGGCTATTAGCACTAACACTCGCTAGCACTAACAGAAACAGTGTCTTTTCTACCCTTCATCTTCACAACATTACTGTTTTCAGGTCACCAGTATCAATGAAATGGAAATGATTGTTGAGACAATGCACAGCTAGAATTATCCCTTAGCGTATACGGAAATGAAAGTAACCGAAACGCTTGGTGAACCATAACTACAACTATCACGTTGATTTCGAGCGTCGCTATCCTTCCAGGCTTCGGTGCGAATGTCCGTCCCATAACCGACCCGGACTTGAGAAGCAAAACTCCTACTCTGAACCAGAAAAGATCACACTTGGTTTGTCTCTTCTCAACTGCTGGTTGACTGGTCGCGCATCTCTGTCTGGGGCTGTCTGGTAAACCGTGTGAAAATTCGGATGTGGTTTGCGTGTGTGGCTATCATGGGCTAGCCAGCTGGTTCCCATCCATTGATCTGCGTGGGAAACCTAGTCTAATCCGTGACATGTTAGTGTACGCTTTGAAATATCATATCAACCTCTCAAGATCTTGGAGTGGCTTACGTTGTTTTAGGACGTATCCTTGGAATCTCCCTTGTCACCAGTATCAGAATCTGTTTCTAATGTGAGAGATCCGAACATGTCGAGTAAATTGTCATTAGGCGTGGCGCTGTTGTTGGAGTCCAGAGACAAGCGATTGGGCGGCCGCTGGGTGACGCTTTTGTAAAATTTCAGAATTGTTTTAGAGTCAAGCCATTCCTGAATGTCGCTTCTGCTGTAGTGGCCAGTTTTGTCCTCTGCTAAACCTGGAAGTTTATACCTGTTAACGCTATGTTTCTCATAGATATGGTCTCTGACGAAATCATCTGCCCAGGGCCCTTTGACAAAGGCATTCCAGTAGACGTTGAATCCCTTTTTGGCATAAGCCTGCATCTCGTCGTCAAGGGCCAGCTGAAAGGTGCTCGGAGAAATTATCAGCCTGTCCAAAGTCAAATTTTGAGCGGTAATGACACGATACAAGACTAACTCGTGCGAATGGCTGAAGACCAAAGATAGTAGAGAGAAGTGGGAGCCATCGCTCGGCTTGTTGCTCGGTACGACTGTGTCGATAACAAACTTCATGGCCTTTTCGCGCTCCACCTCCTTCCATACTGTGGGTTTTATGATTTGATCCAAAGCTCTGATCAATTGATCTGGCCCACTACCTACAGTGACCGCGAATGCCAGCGCAATGGCGAGGATTTTGGCGACATAATTACTGAGCCCGCTGGCTTCAGCAAGCTTGTTCCATTTGTTCCTGGCTTCGCAGGCGCTCATGTTCATGAGTTCGTGGGTGAAAATCAAGCCCAGTTGGCTAGGTAGAAGGCTGCCTGTAGCAGATGACATCGTGAAATCTGCAAGAGACACTGGTTAGGATTTGGTGAAAACAGTCCTAAGGTGACCTAAAGCCATAGGAATTTATACCGTTGATGATTGCTTGATCTTGTTCTGAGTAGTGAATCACGAGGCCGGCAAGATAGGCTGATGGGTTAACAGGATTCTCGTCACGTTGTTGGATTAATATTGGAGGTTGGGAAGTCGAGATCCAAAGTAAAAAGTCGACTAAAGCACTGAATTTGAAGTCCGTAAGCTTAAAGGTTGGATTTAGATGTGTCGTCCAACAACGGTGTTTTTTTTCTTTTTTTTTTCTTTTGGAACAGGCCGTAGAAAGTTGAGGCGTTGCATGTTATGCATGGGGTATGAAGCGCTCCGAGAAGGGAGCTCTTACTTCACGGGCTGGAAGTCAAATGACTGAATAAAGGAAGGACACTCAGTAACAGAGTCCCAGAGCTGACCATATTCACCTTCCTCCCACAGCCAGCTCAGTGCACCTTCCCAGAGGCCATTTCGGTTTACGATCATGCCACAGACTGGTGACAAAATAGACATAATGGTCCGGTCCTGTCTATATGACTGGGTCACTCATTCCAAAGAAAACGGGTTTGTTTGGTAACTGTGTGGACCAGGGGAGGTACAACGAGCGACATGGACTGGATCATGTCTTGAACCCACCATGTGCATCTACAGGTACCATGAGCAACCACAAACATCAGGATCCCTATCTCCGTACCTGTTCAAGACTTTGGATCCCACGTCAACCACACATACTTTCCCTTTTCAACATACGAAGTGAATTTCAAGTCCATCGGCTTCGCATCCACATCTGGCGGTCCCCCTTGCACGCTCGCCATTAAGCCATACAGTCCATACCGCAGACACTCGACTCCGGGAACGCCGTTCGGGAATGGCCAGATCTACCAACCATCGTCAGCTGTCAACTCTACAACTCCCAACGTCGCATCAATCAGACATCGCAAGGCAGGAAGGCAAGTGACTAAGAGAAAAGAAAGAACGTAGACTCACCCCAAAACTATACCCGTCCAGCCCCTTCTCACAAACAAACGTAGTTCCCGACATCTCGCACGGCCCGGCCTCTTTGCTAGTCAGAGTGAACTGCGTGGCTCCTATCGAGTCTCCATCCTTGCGCACGGCGATGAAGGTGCCGCAGAGGTTCTCGTCGGTTGTCCAGCGCCCGGAAGCCGTGAGGCAGCCGAGGTCGTCGTGGCTGCTTCCGTCCCAGAGGGTACGGATCTGGCCGGTGCCGGAGAAGCTCTTAAGGGTGAGGATGTTAGAGTGGGAAAGGACGGAGGTGGAGGCGGCGGTGAAATCAAGAGGGGCTGCGGTGGAGAGGGTGAGGACAAGGGCGAGGAAGGTAAAGGTTGTTTGTATGAGTTGGACCATTTTGGGTTGATGTTGCAGTAAATATAGGTTGCTGTTATTGAATAAATGATTGGCAAGTGTCACCCTCAAGTATAGTTGTTTGTGGAACTGTCCCAAGAAGATGGTTCGTGGTATGTGCGCACGGAAGATGGGGTAGAGGAGTTTTGGAGAAAGAGATCTGGCGGATCTAAGGCAGGGAAAGGGAAGGTACAGGTGGTAGCAAGTTAATGAAATTCCCGTCGTAGCAGTGAGCTGGGCCGTCCCGATTTGGCTATCGCGGAGGGTAGTTGATGTCCCGTTTTGAAACACAAAGATGGAATTCGAGACCGTGGTCCCGGGGGGCGTAGTTGCCAAGTATTTAAGTCTGAAGGAAGCAGCCATCATAGACCCCGTCTCCTTCATTGGAAGGGTTGCCATCTTGTTGTTGTAATAGGGTAAAGCCGTGGGGAGAAGTCTCAGAAGCATGAAAGTCTCCTCCATGGGAACTGCCTACCTACCCATTCAGGGAGGGTTGATGTCGTTGGTTCCCCCAAAGAGCCTCAGAAGTGGATCAGGCCATCAGATGCGAGATGTCAATGGCTCGTGTGATGGTGGAAGGAACACATCGGATGCCAATGAACTGAAGGTGTGACGGAGTGGTCCTGACAATTTCCATTGCCCCTGTGCATCAATTGGTAAGAGTTGAATCATCATCCAACAGTGCACCGCGTAGAAAACTGGCAAGTATACCAACCTCCAATCCAAGGAAGTATCTACGTGAATAAGCAGGTACACTTCTCCAGACGGCAAGTTCTGCCGGGATTGGAAGGTTCCAGGTTGAGGGTTGAAACGCATGCGGTTGGCACAACTTCAAATGGAAAGTTTACCGTGGGGAAAACTGGGAAGGGTGAGTGGTGTGCTGAAGTCCTGGAGAGGCACAGCCAATGGATGCGTCCAACCGTGTGGCGTTCCGTACCTACCTCTAGGCTTACACTCGCGGTGCCTATGGCTCCGCATTCTTCATTGCCGTTTGAGGTATTGCCAGAAGCTAGATGACGGACATGGCTGGTCAAAGATGGTGTGAGGTGAGACATAAGGAAACAGCCAAACAGGACGGGTTGCATTGATTGAGAGGGTCACGACCATCCTTCCAATATTTCTTGCCGTGTGTCCAATAAAGAGGGGTTTTAGCGTCGAGGAAGAACGTGAGTGGCCTCTGGGCTTATTCCCGGAGACCTGGATGTTTCTAAGCAGCACGTGTGACGAGCGGGCTTTGTAGAGTTGTTTAAAATGCTGACCTTGGGAGGATCCTTTGACGGTGATGGTCAGATAAGCTCAACTACCGCTCGGTCTTGGCATCTGTGAGGCCGGTAGATCGTCAACCATGAACCAAAGAATGAAATGGTTTGGTTCTTACTTGTTGAGGAGGGGGGTCAGGTTGACAGAAGCGGGGGTTTTACGTGAGGATGACAAAGGGATTAGAAGGTAAGTAATGGGTCATAGCCGAGAATGTGTTCAGCGACACGACGCGATGCTGTTCTTTGCTCTAACAGACACTCAACCTATGAACGGTATTCTAAGAAAAGAGTGATGATTGGAATGAGGAGTTACAACATGGACTACCTGTGTTTGGGGTAGTTCTTTCACGTCCCCAATACAACCAGACGTATCGATATCACCTTCCTTGTCAGAGCGATTCACGCCCATTGCTCCAAATGTAGAGTGAGATGAACAACCCAGAAGGGAGAAGGTATCATAATTTTGTGATAAGGTTCACTCACTCATAGATATGTATCCACCACCCAGCGGTATCAGGAGAGAACGGAAA